CTCTTCTCTCTCTCTCTCTCTCTCTCTCTCTCTCTCTCTCTCTCTCTGTTTTTTCCGATTTCTTTTTTATTTTTTTACCGCGTAACGTGCCGTTCTCAACCCGCCTGTTCATTTCTCTACGTCTATCTTCGCTGTCTGGCTAAACGCACACTGTATCCACTTGCTCTGTTATAACGTATCTATTTGTCACAAGTCTATACTGTCTCTCTTTCTCTCTATGATCTAACCATAATGCAAGTATATCTCTCTGAGCTTTGTACTAACTCGCCAATGAAAATAAAAAAAAAAGAACAAAATGCTTTACTCTCTCGAGTCAGGGCTGGGCAAGCTTATAGAGAAGACGCCATTATTGTGTCACTATATACTCGTACAACTTTATACCGTATTTCCTCGTGCACTTTCTTAAGCTTGCCGTATTGATTCGCGCGCGGATTTGCCGGCCGCAGATTGTTGATAATTAACGTTGCATCTCGCGCGCCGAGAAGAACGATCGTGAAACGAGATGGGCGCACGATTTCGCAGTGGTAGAAGCAGTTGCCCTAGATTTGTTGCCAAAAAAAAAAAGAGTACGCAATCGAAGAAAATACATCACCCACGAGGATCACCGAAAGGGATCACTCCTCCCTTGGTCTCACGCGAGAACTAAGCTGACACTGTATGCTGAGACCGCGTGCGCGCGTAAATGTGCGTACGTGCGTGCGTGCGTGCGTGCGTAGGTGCAAAATCAGAAATGGAAGCGAAAGGGAAAAAAAAAACGAACGACAGTAGACACATCGGGGAAAATGCATCATGACTTTTACGGTGTCTTCCTCTTATCTTTCGTCTTCATCTCTTATGCTTTATATTATTCTGTCTCTCTTTTCTTTTCACGCGTGCGTTTTTCTCTTTGTCTCTCTCTCTCTCTCTTTCTCTCTCCGCCCCCTCTCGCTTTGCGCTTTACTCCTATTGTCCTATTACTTGCTCTTAATATTAATGTCGCGCAACAAAGATCTCTCTCCACCGGGCACAAATAATTTTGCTTCACCGCGCACGCATGGCTTTTCTAACTAGTAAACTGTTTAAGAGATGCGATATATATATACATATGTAGGCGTAATGAACCCGGGCTAATTAACGCTGCTGGCTATGGTAACAGGATTATGAGGAAACAGACGAATGGTTCTATTATTGTGTTGATTAATTTCATGTTATTGAAGACTTGACCGACCGCTATCTGATATTTCGGTGCATCACACGATGAAAGGTAGATTCGTATTCTGTCGAAATATCTATTGACAGAGTTACGTATCCCGTTACGCAAATTAACCGCCAATAATTACTCTCGTTGTCAAATTGGTATATTTGCGAGTAATATTTATGTTTAATGAATTGAGTGTTACGCTCTTTCTTAATTCCTTTATCTGAAAAGTCTTTGGAGATCGGATTCAGTTCGAGATGATTATTTTACGGGCTTAGAGAGGTATTCGTAACGTCAGTCGCGCAGCAGTTCATCGCTGCGGAGTATATTAGCGCGGCTTCCTGAAGAGCGTACGACCAATAGTAATTTATGAGATTGAAATGATTTTTTTTTAAACTCTCAGCCGAATTAACAGCATGAGCGCTAGCCTATCGCCAACTTTTCTATTAATCTCGGTGATTAGTTGACGAAAACTCCGTTTGCGACGGACATCGCGAGTCGAGTTAACGGAGCTTACCTCGCGTATACTTTCGTAGCTACGCGACAAGAAGTATGGCACTTCATATTCATCGCGAAGGAAGGAAAACGAGCGAGTTTTCGCGAATCGTCACGGCATTCTTCTTTTATCGTAGCGTCACACGTGAACAGTTGTGGGAATTTTCACGACTTCTTTCTTCGAAGAAACTGGACTTTCAACGTTAATGTTTCGAAAAAGCGCATCTCACCTGCGTTATGGGCTATCTAATCTTGTCGTTTGCAAAAGAACGTACTCGCCTTACGATATTTGCGAGATCGAAGAAAGCATTAAAGATATTTAGAAAAAAAAACTCGACGGGGATCTATAGATCGGTCGATGACGAGTACAAATCAGTTTCGTACGACTTTGGAAATCGATTATCGTACACCTTCCCATAGACAGCTTCAGTTGTAGAGTCTACTTTGTCCTGTCACACGTTTTTCTAGTTTTAATTCTCACAAAGGTGGACTGGCTCAAGAACGGATTGAAAGACGACGAAACCGAAGTGCCATGCTGTGAAAATCTTCAGGCCCGCAACCCCAACCCTCGCGCTACGCTATTTTCGCGTTTCCTTTTCTTTTTGTTTTATCGGTCGAATCCGGCCCGGCCCTCGACCGTTGACTTCCACTGACTTTTGCGAGCTAGACAATATAAATGTGTACGTGAAATACCCGGCTCACGAGAGAGACATCGGAGTAAACACGTACAGGCGTCTACGATGTTTTTAAAGTAAAGCGAAATTGATTTTGCACCAATTCGCACGCACCGCACCGACTGTCAGTGTCCTCTTGTTATGGTGTTCAATTAGGCTGTAAATAGCGGACTCTTCTTGGCAGAACTCTGTTCTCTTCTTCTTTTTTTTCCTCGCGAAAAGATTTCGCGAAAGAAAGTTATCTCCCTCCCACTATTTTTTATGAACGAATTTGTCGTCAGTTTCCAATCAATTTTGCCAAGAGGCTGTTTACGATACAAATACATTCACATAGTGCATTGTGGCACCGCTAACAATGATTATCCTGCAGCATTCGAAAGAATTTCTACATGACCACGCGTCGCTGCTCTGAAAACAAATGTTATTCTGAGATAATTGGAGCGTATCCGACATAACGTTAAACGTTCGAGTACAAAATGGCAAATGAAATCAACCGGGTATCGATCTCAAGGGATTAGTTTCACGCTTCGAATGAGGCGAACAGAGCTCTGGCAGTCTAGAAAACGGATTGTAGTGGATTTTGTAATTTTTTTCTCATCACCCACGGCGGACGAAAGAGCTGTTCGTGACCAGCCGGTCCCCTGATTGGCCAAAATGAAATTCACACCCCCATCGTATCCAATTCCTCTTTTCTTTCACTCTCTCTCTCTCTCTTTCTTTCTTTTATCGTCCCTACTCTCTCCCTTTCTCGTAACTTGCGCGAGAAAGAGAATAAGGGCAAAAGAATATAACGGTCGAATGATTCCTAAGAAGAAAGGGAGAGAATCCGACAAGTGGCTTTAGAACAAAGCCTCGCTCCTGAAGAAGCTGTTCAGAAAAGTAGAATAATCAGTGTCACCCGTGAGAGCGATAAAAGTGTTTTCAGTAACAGAGATGAGTTCACACAATGAGGACCGTGGCGATACGAATCGTATTTAGACTTTATCTATTCCGAGATTCTGCGTACGTAATGCAACAAATTCCACGATTTCTCTACTTCTTGCATGAGTTTCTGCGACAGATATTTTATTCTATGGGAACATTCCACGGTCAATCTACATATCTATCCAGACGTAAAAATGCACGAATCATGGAACCTTTATTGCATTATTAGTCTACGAAACGATCGCTATTGCAATTATCGATTTTCACGTATATTGTGTGTTTGTTCTTATTTTCTTTTTGTTATGAAGCTGAATGAAATGATTTTCGCGATGTTTCAGCCATAATGTTTCTATCTGTGAAACGCAGTAAAGTGTTACTTTACCGCATAATTATCGTATTTGCTATAATTTTGCTATAAACTCTCTCGTCGATAATTTTTTCTTTTTGCTAAAATTTTTACCTTCCATTATAGATGTTTTCGCATATGTGTCACAAGTTTTGAATAGACCTCCCAGTTTTAGTTATTATTTGTTCCACGGACCTCCCCATATTCTCCCCTTTCCCTCCATTTTTCCGTTATCATTCGCCTGTCGTGAAACCGCTCCTCTATTCCGGACCCATCGCCGTCATCCGCTATTGCAGTTAATCCGCAAGCCAATTTACTGTCAATCTCGATCCGTCGAGTGGCTCGCCAGCTGAATATTTGCGCGTTTGCTCAACACTGTGTGACTCCCTTTTCTCTTTCTCTCTTGCCTGTGCTTTTGCCACGCAGGATACGCGCACGCCGATACGATTTGATTCACCTGTCCGTTTCTTTTTTTTTCCTTGATTAACCGTTTGTGGCTGGATTGTCATGCCGTTCACGTGAGTTCACTAATCCGCGTTTAATCCTAATACACGATGTTTCTTTACTTGTATACAAGATTTATTATTGTATGGCTCCGTTTCGGGAAAAGTTTTCCTTTGTAAATCTAAAAGTTGGAACACGTCGAGTATTTTTTTAAAAGCACACTTGCTCGAATATCGCCACATTGCACATGAACACCTTGTTGCACAATGGACATATTCGAAACGGTAAACTCTATTATCGCCTTGTATATAAAAAGAAAATTATAAACGCGCATGACTATATTATATCGCAATATCGAATGTAATGGATGTTAATAAAAATATTCGATACGTGCAGATCGCGGACTTGAACAGCCAGGTCAACGATCTCCGAGGTAAATTGTAAGTATCTTCCCTACCTACGTATCTCATTTATAACAATAATCGCATGATACAATTTCTGTAGTCGGACTACTGCTTGTACTAAGAATATATTTTACTGTATAACGTTCCCTTGTCTCTTTCAGCATGAAACCAACCCTGAAGAAAGTGTCTAAATACGAGAACAAGTTCGCCAAGCTCCAAAAGAAAGCCGCCGAGTTTAATTTCCGTAATCAGCTGAAGCAAGTCAAGAAGAAGGAATTCACCTTGGAGGAGGAGGACAAGGAGGTAAGGATGATCGTTGTCGATTAAATCTTCGCGTCTAGGCGACGTGAATCTTTTTGTAAAAATGTTTTTTTCCCTACCCGTCAAAGGTCCACTCGAGCGTTCTTTGAATTTATCAGAACGAAAGGAATCTTACGGAAATGTATAAGCCAGAGAATTTTACCTACGCGTTACAATTATTTCTGTTGATTTTAGTAGCGTTTCATATCAAGTTCCATGTTCATTTCGTTCGCATTTATTCTCAGTTATAATTTATATTCTCACGTTGTTATCCCATATCTTATATTTCCGCGAATTTAATTTCGACTGATAAATTCATCGACAGTTTATTGGGTTTTGCAAGGGACGCTTATTTTTTACGACCGCACGACGGGTAGGCGTGTAGTAGTGTAGTAAATGTTTTATCAGTGGATAAAAAAAAACAGTTTTTGTAACCCTGGTTTTCTTTTTGTGTACAAAACCCAATTGGCAGGTTTTCTGCATTTAAGCAGTTTTTTTCCGTTCAATGTATCGTGTCCAATTTAGGAGATCCGCATTACGTTGTATGCATTTCGATATTGCTGCTATTAAAATATTTATGATACAGTTCTCTGGAGGAGTTATTTTATCAGTTAATTTGGAGGCTAAAATTCTCTCGGAAATCTCGAGCAAGGAATAATCACGCAGTAATTAATCATCGATTCATCGGACCGCGATACTTTCGATTAAATATATGAAGCCATTATCATTTCGAGGATGTTAAATTTATGCAAATTGATTAACCGCAAAATGTATCATTGCTAACCAATGGCAGTAGTTTGAATAATAACTGTCGATATACAGAGTCTTCCTAAAACTATCTTGTAATATTGCAATAATATATTTTGTAGATCAATTAGATTTAAAAATCCTCATGAATGGTGCCGATTATCATAATTTTTTAGTTATAAACACTCACAATGTTGTTTAACCAATAGTACAAAGTTTATGCGTTTTCATTCGCAATTGCACTCAAATGCATATTATCCTTGTCGTTTGTTTTTTCTAGTAATTTTGTTAGCTTAGATGACGTCAACTTTCACTGCTCGCCCCATCTTGCGTTTTATTTAGTTTCTTACTGCAAGTATTGCACATGTAAGAAACTAGTTTTTAGCAATTAGCTGATGAATTAATTCTTGGTGAAAAATGTTTATTGTACAAACGATCAAACTTGTCTCGTCGTATATGCGGGATCTCCTCAAAAGGACCAAGATGTCTGTAGACATGTACATACGTCTCCGTATTGAAAGTAGTAGTAGTGGTAGTTGATTAGGCAATTTGTGTTGTTCTCCACAGCCCAAGAAGTCCGAGAAGGCAGAGTGGCAGACCAAGAAGTAGATTTAACATAAGAACAGTAAAACAATTTGAGTGCAAAATCTCAATAAAACACAAACATTATTATTACGACGCAAACAGAAAAATCGGGAACAAACGAGAAAAAGTCAAGAAATTTCTATACAGACACGCGTACACTTACATACGAAGAGAACACTAACACGATCGCGTTTGTACAGTCGACCTGACACGGGCGCGCGCGAAAAATGAGCCGCGTAAAAGCGCATGGGGAAGAAGAGGAGAAAGGAAAATAAATGTGTAAACGCGTTTAGAACATTTTTGATACCGTTTTCCATCGACGTCGCGCGCGTTCGCCGGCGCGTTCCCGCCGTCACGTTCGTTCGAATTGTTGTCAAACTAGTTCGTTAGCGCAGCGAAACAAATTAACGAGTGAGAATTGAAAATTGCGCGAACAATTCTAGGAGTTGGCCGATATTTGATTATATCCCTCTTCCGTGCGGACTAGACGGTCAAAATGTGCGATGTAGGGAGAAGCTGACTCTGCGTAAATATTCACGTACAACTGTTATACATATATAAAAGCGATAAGTTGTGGCAATAAACGATCGAAGAAAGCGCACGTGAATAAGTCAGATGTTTCCCTCGTGTGTCCAGTATTCTTTTACATCCCTCATCGGCAGATTTCTCTCCCCCCCCCATTTTCTTTCTTCTTATTTTTACGATTTATTCCGTTCATCTCCGAACTTTCTCACTGCGACAGATCGCTCGTGATTTTTACTTCCTCCCTTTGTCTTGGCCGTCCATCGAATGCGAAACTCGGTAACTCGTATTGATCTCAATTCTCGATTGTTTCCGTTACACGTAACGGAAACGTGACCCTGTGTATGAGAATGTTAATGCGATCATAGCGCCTTGTATTTTATGCAAAATCAGATATGACTTTCGCGCCGGAGTGCTCGTATTTTCTTGTCGCGTGATAAGAGAAATTCTTCCAGACGATGTTACCCGAACGCGTATTTCAAATATTCGATAAGGAGAAAGGTCGACTGTTATCGAGGATCGTACCGTTTTTCCTCTCTTTCTCTCTCTCTCTCTCTCTCTCTCCGTCTCGTAAAACTTCACTAATTCGCTTCTCTCTGAGGCATCGTTTAATTTCCTTTATCTTGTATTTTTTTCTCCGACACATCACGGCGATTAAAGTACTGTCCAATTTGTATTTCTATTTCTTTTTTTTTATTTCGCGTTCTCTCCCGTCTCTTATCCATGTAATTTCGTGAAAGTCTTTGCGATAGCATAATCCAGCGCGAAGTAAATAAAAAATATACAATTAAGAGGGCCGCAAAAAGGTGAGATTGGCTTGCGAAGTATATTTGAAACTGACAGTTCCACTTTTATTTCGTACATAATGGCAGAAGCGCTTTACTCACACATGCCTGCCCACTCGCGTTTTTCTACTCTTCACTATCTAATTATATTGTTGCCTTCCATTTTTTTTTCGCACACTAGCCTCGTTTATCTTCTTTTTACACGTGTTAATTGCCGCACACTTTCTCACGCAAAATCGTTCGTTCCGGCAAATTGCCACCGAATGCAAAATGTTAATTAAAAAAAAAGAAAAGAGATCAATAGAAGGAGGAATACAGGCTCGCCTGAAAAGTGAACCAGAAACTGAAACACGCACTCTCTGAAACTAAAGTCGGTTGATCACGCAATCGAAGTCCTTTTGTAGCTTGCCTTATCGCCACCACTCGGCTGCCATGCTTTCAGACTGTGTAGAATTTGTTGCTCTGTCTTTCTGTCTTTGTTTGTGCACAGTCGTGCACGCATCTTGACGTTTTACGCAAAAACAAAAATCTCTTGTCACCTTCTTCTGATTCACAATGAATGGTAATTAAGAGGAAAACGTATATTTGTCGACGATCAATATGCGTGTCGATCGCGATATCGATCATGGCTCACGCCGTGAGCCATGAACGACGCGTTACTCGTTAAGTTGATATTTAAATGTATGCTTAATCAGTGTCCACGTCTTACCTGTTGACTAATAATATTGCTCTTGCATTATGTTCGCAGAGTGCGTCAAAAGATAAGGTAAAACTTTAACAACCAACTTGTAGCTCGGCATGCTTGCGTAGGAGAGAATGACGCGTGTGATAGATGAGAGTAGATAGAACGAATGGATCGTACATGTGGGGTGCGCGTGTGTATGTGTGCAAGTATGGGAGAATGGAGAGATAGGTTATAGAAGAGAAGCTTCCTTCGTTTTTAACGTTCGTGGTGATTCAGTCTTCAGTGCAATCTTTTCTTCAATATTATGTTCCGCTTGTTCGTGATTTCCTCACGATGTTTAGACGCATTGCTCCCAGCATTCTCGGCAACGTTAGAAGCCGTTGTCTTAGCTTCTCCATTTCGCTCTCTTTTTATGTATTTTTATTTTCTTTCTTGTCGCCGACTCGTGATTCTCCTCCGCCGTTCGTTTTTTCTTGTATTTTATTTTCACTAACAATCTGTGCACGGCTTTGTAGATGCTCCGTGACCGAGCGTAGTGCCAGGCGACGTTCCCGGAAGCGTCGAGAGAATTTTTTGGTAGCACGAGAATTTGGCGATCCGCAAAGCTGGCGCAGAAATTCGCGATTGAACGGTACATGGCGACGCCATCCACGACGACGACTACGAAGCAGTTTTTGTCTAGATCTCGTTTTTCTCTGGATTTTTGGCATAGCGTCCGCCCAACTGAATAGCCCCTTTCAGAAGTTTTGACCCCTACCCCCAAGGATTATCTCCCAGCTTTGCAAGCGTTCACCCCGACACTGCTAACCAGTGTGCGAGTCTAATTTTGAACGTGTAATGAGATTTCCATGCATTTGACGCAACGTTTCCTCGATTTTGCAGAAGAAACCCGACTGGTCCAAGAAGGGCGACGAAAAGAAGGTAAAGGAAGAAGAACCGACACCGGTGGAGGCATGAGAGAATTGAAAATCTCGTTCTCGTCGTTCCCGAGAGAAACGCAGGATCGTCTGTCCGTCATCGTCAATAACCGCTCGATGCAGGAACTCCAAAAGAACCTTCTCTATATTTTTTAACGATCGATTCATTAATTTAATATGTCCCGTTGCCGTGAGTTGCACGCAAAACTCTTGCCCGTCCGTCTGTCCGTCACGATTGCTCGTCCCAGATTACGTCGAAAGTTTTTTGACACCCCGATATCCAATCCGTAGTTCTACACTCTACACACTACACGTGCCTGTCCTACCTTTTTTATGGAGACGTAACGTATTTTTTTAATGGATCTTGTAAATCACCGTAGAGCACTAGAGTTGCGTGCTGGATTCACGAAAAAAAGTAATGAAATAAAATTTGCTTTTCTGCAAATCAGATGCGAGGGGAGAGATGTTATTGTAGAGAAAATAACGGGGGGGGGGAAACAATGCGTTACTTAAGGTTTATTGTAAAGCAAAATATTTAACGGTACTCAAAACCTCTATGTGTGATCATTTTCCTACGTTTTTCTTTCATATTCCTTTCGTATTTCTTTCGTCTGTGAGTTTTCGTTTTAGTGATATGTGTAATATAAGACAATATCCAGATGTTTTATATACGTTTTATGCAGGGTTGGAAAGTTACTTTATAAAAGTATCTAGTTACAGTTACAAGTTACCAATTCTGAAAAGTAACGCGTTACAGTCGCAGTTACTAAAAAAGTGACGAATCGTTACTTTGCAATTACTTTCTTGCAAAATAAAAATATCTGCACTTGAATTGTAAAGCGTTGATAAAGACGTTTATGCGCAAATGCAAGGCCTGATGCGATCTGTGGAGGTTTAAAATATATACAAAGTAATTATTAATGTAACTATATATTAAATTAGTTACTGGTTATCGAAAAAATGTAACTGAGTTAAGTTACAGACGGAGATAAAGTAACGAAGTTAAGTTAGAGTTACCGAAAAGAAGTAACTGTAACTGTAACTTCGTTACAAGTAACGAGTTACCGCCCAACCCTGGTTTTATGTTTTATGTACGTTAAATAATTACTTTCCGTTTATGCACTTCTCGTCAAGTGGAATAGTGTAGAAAGATACTAATTAATTATCCTTAACGATATAAATGTAAGATACATAACAGCACTTTTTTAAATTAGTTTAATTATCTAGAAAAACCATTTTTATTGATATCGTTATTAAATTTTTGTATGTTTCTATTTTTTCTATTTATTACATTTACTACTTTTGTTTCAAACTGAAAGTGCAACAGGGGTCAATAAAAGATGTGCAGCTTTTGGCATTCTTCTTATTATCTTAACTTTTGCCAGTTTCTAATCGCGAGGATGTAGCTGTTACAACATAGGGGATTTATGCGTCCAACCGTTGCGTTGTCGCGACGTTTAATTAATAAGAATAATGCCGAAAGTTTTTTAATTTGCAGATAAGCCAATACACAGAGATACGGTAGGTATGTCACTAACTGGGTTTCGCTTCATAACTATTCGCTATTGAGTGACGCTTTTGACACAGCTTCATCACGTTCGCTATCATACACACTCTTATGTGCTTTGACAATTTCGATCTGCTTTATTGATTTATGGAACTGTTCACTTCCCTCCATTTGCGACAAGTATTTCACCAACCGGTATTTTCCAAAATGAAACGCGCACATCGACACACAGTTCCGTTTGACAATTTATTTTTAATCCGCCAATGATGCTCTTGCGGGTTAGACGGGATTTATTTAATTTGCAGAAAATTTTCAATCTCCCGTTTGCCCTTTGTCACAGTTGCCTTTTTACAGTAGTTAATTAAAAATATTGTATTCGAGATCTCGTGTTACACAATCTTCGTGCGTTTATGTAGATTGTTAAAATTACGTTTATTAGCTTTATGTTCAGTGTTTGCGATTGTGTCGCAGAGAGTTTCTTTTAACCGGGTTTATTATTAATTATCGCGCTAATTTGTGTCTCGATAATGGACGTTGATACATCTAATTAAATGGTGCTTTCAACAAAGCCTCATTATATCGACTCCGGGCAAACGTTGAGTGTCCTTTTTCATTCGGTCGTACGTCACGCGTACGCATGTCGATTTTCGCGATCTCGCAATTTATTTTCGGGATTCATTGATCGCGTGCGCGACACGCTGGCGCAACCTGCCGCGCTGCCACCCCGTTCGACACGGGTTTCACGTATTTGACCGTATTTATAATCATATCGGATGTCGCGCACATTGTTTAATTATCTTGACAATATTCGTCGATCACAATGGCGACGATGATTTATGGCGCAAAACACCGCCAACGAAGCCGCGGGAAGCGCGCGGCGCGTCGTAAGCTCGTGGCCGAACATTGCATAAAGCATTATTATCGAGAGCGCGGACAAATGACGTATCTATAAACGGCGGTTTAATAGCGAGTACATTTGTGAAACGTGCGCACATGCCGTTAATCACACAATTTAATGCGTGCGTGTCGGTGACGGCTCGCGCACCCCGCACGCGTTTCCGCTATTTTTGTTCGCGAGAGTGAACTTTTCACGACGATCTCCGGTGACGAGACAAATCCGTTTCGGTTAATCGCGCGTTCAGTCTTAACGAGCTTGCACCTCTTGTACTTTTACCCGTCGTCGTTTTTATCTCGGAAGACAGGACGCAGAACGCTTGAAAAAAGTGCTACCCTCAAAGTAATTTTTCCCCGGGTAATTGTGGATTAAAATACGTGGATAAAAACACGAGGATTCGCTGATACGCTATTATGTTTTTTAAAGTGATAAAGATGTTGCTAGACAAATTCATTTTGAACAAGCGCCCGTGTTTCACGCAGGAGGGCGAACAGGTTGAAGCGGTTGTAGCGGAACCGCCGCCACCGGAACCAACCCCGACCCCAGAACCGGCGCCAGCCCCAGCTCCTCCGGCTCCTGCACCTCCTCCGCCAGCGGAACCAGCTCCTGCGCCGACACCGGTTGTCTCACCAGCACCTCCGGCCGAAGGTGCTCCAGCAGCCGAGGGTGCCCCGCCGGCGGACGGAGCTGCGCCAGCACCTGCTGGTAAACGCTTAGACCTGAAACATCCTGATATCTATGATTCTTTCTAAAATCAAGTTTCCACGGTGATTCGTCTGTTTTTCTTTTTCGTAAAGAGCGGTGCTACAATAGAGCTAAAATTGGCTTGTAAGGGAAACGTATGCAATTGGCCTATTTTTATAGTTTCGGAACTACATAATTTTTCCCATTCACTTTCAACTGTTTATATTGTTGAAACGGAACGGTCAATTATTTTTATTTTTATTCCAGTTATTCGTTCCATTTTACTTTATAACATATTTGTTTCTCATACGAATCTCACTCATCGTTAAGCTAAAAAAAAATGCGCCATACATTTGCAAACGCAAATATTAATACTTTAACACATAATAATATGTGTAAATAATATTTCACGTGTAATAACATTACAACGAATTATGTTGTTACGTGTAATAATACTTTTAACGTGTTTTACACGTAATATTTCTTGAAACATAGCAAACTTTAACATTTGTTATTCAGAATTTTGCGACGGTCACTTTTAATTCAATTAGTCTCATTTTGCACGTATTAATGTAAAGAATAAACTGTAAAAATTTGAAACAATTCTCACATAAATGATTTTACGAAATCATTACCTTAAAATTGTCCAAAGTTCAGGGAACTTTGTGAAAATGCATTTTTTTCTACAGAAAAGCTTTGTTTTGTAGGAAATATTTTTTAATGACCAAATTCTGAAGAAAAGAAGTATGTTTTTCTTGATCTCCTGCCGTATTCTCACAGCTCTGGTCTCTGGCCCCATCGTAGCGCTGTTCTTTTTTCCTGTCGAGGATTCGCGCGTATAATCGTATTGTTTTCGATACTTAATAGTTTTTAAGAGAATGTTAATTGTCCGCAGAAGGCGCACCTGCAGCAGCCCCTGCGGAGGGCGCCGCGCCACCGGCGGAAGGTGCCGCGCCACCGGCGGAAGGGGCCGCGCCACCGGCGGAAGGAGCTGCACCCGCGGAAGGATCAGCCCCGCCAGCGGAGGGTGCAACTGCTGAAGGAGCACCTCCAGCCGAGGGTGCCACACCTGCCGCCACTCCCGCGGAGGGTGCACCCGCAGAAGGAGCACCCGCTGCACCTCCAGCTGAAGGTTATTATAAACGAAAGAATCGCCAGTAGTTAATTAACAGTAAAAAGAATTGTTAGACGACATTAGGCCGGCAGATGGTTTATTTGTTTGATTCCGACGTATCGGCTATACGGGCTGTCAAATTCCTTTCTCAAGGAATTTGATAATAAATATTACCGATCAATATTAAATTAAAAACGGAGGTTTGACATCCATCTCTGGGCGTCACTCGGAGTAATATGTTCGAAGGCACGTTTATTCGACGTAACGACCACAGTAGGAAGTTTATTATGTCCTATTTGTTGTGCTTCTCGCTCGATTTCTTTATGTTAACGAAATGCCCAATTCGCAAAAACCAAATTGCCAAGAGACCTGAAATGAGATACTGAATTGTACGTTAACTTTTAGCTGGGACTCCGCGTTTATTCCGTGAAGATTAATAATTTGCAACCGGAGCGGCTAAAGTTTAAATCAATAATCGATGGAGGCTTTCTGGTTGTCAATTAATAACGCTATTACTTTATTCTAATGAATATTAAAATAATAAATTAGGCAAAAATAATAAAGGCAAAACGCATTCTGCTCGTTGGTAAATAAAAAATGTCCATTTTGCATGCCACACTTGAAAAATCGATGCCGCTCGATCATTGTCAATTTTACGCATTGTCAGTGACTGCGCCTAGTTTTTTTCTGACGCAAAAGGGCACGCTATAAAGGTTACGGCTGTGATTGATCTATTGCGTGAAATATTGTAGAAATTTTAGCAAAACTGATAATTGTAGGACGACGCAACTGGCAGATACCTAATTAAATTAGTACAAAAGCGAATTGTGGTACTTGAAATACCGGAAAAGGACCACAAACCGAATGGCGGAAACGTCGTTTCTGTACTAATTTAATTATCTGCCAGCTGGGTCGCCCAACAGGTATCAGTTTTGTCATTTATTTACTGGCAGAGAAAAACTCTCTTTACAAGTTTTCAGAAATTTTATGTATTCTCACAGTAAGGTTGTGGAAAAAATTGTGCAGGTGCGACACCAGCAGCGGAGGGAGCGGCACCGCCAGCGGAAGGAGCTCCTCCGGCCGAAGGAGCCGCTCCTCCTGCGGAAGCTGCACCGGCCGCACCAGCCGAGGGAGCTGCACCCGCAGATGCGACACCTGCAGCTCCGGCGGAAGCTGCACCCGCGCCGGCCGAAAGTACGTGATCCGCGATCTGTTTCGTATTACTTTCCAGGTTACGAAATCTACTATTTTTCACATCTGGCGCTTTCGTAGACAATCTTTCGCTTTTTTCCTTTTTGGACAAAATTTTTCTACTTTTTGAAACCGAACGCGCGGCTTTACATTCTGCAAGAAAAAGCGAGAAGACGCAACAAGAGTAGAATTTTTCCAACGCCAGTGCCACGCGCTGTCGCCCGACGACATTAGCATCGTATTAATTTTGCGTTTTCAACTTAATTTTTAGCTAATCTAGTTTTGATATTGCGAGTTTCAATCCGCATCAGAGGCAGTCCCGCGCTAAAGAGCGCGAAATACATCATGAACGGTACGTCAAAGCCACCAAAGAGCGTAGAAACGCAAAATGGACTAAAAAAAACAAACGTCATCGCATTCGACGAACTAAAAAAAAACTAGGAAACTCCAGCGCATGTCGCGGACGTACTAATTTTCGCAAACTAATTGCGCCATCGATCAGCCATCACCCGCGACATTAGTGCCCGTACAATTTCGGAGGGAAATCGACGAGAGCCGCTCTCCTCGGCTTATCATCTTACTGTTAGCTCTAGTTAATAATTCTGCAACGATCGTATCTCGCTTCCCACGTTAATATCCTTCTTCTTTTTTCTCTCGCGTAGCACCCGCATCGTAACTGAGAGAGAGGGGACGAGGGGGTCATCTCGCCGCAACTCTCCTCTCGCGTTGACGTCAAACTTGGCGGAACGTCTACACGGCCAGGGATGCGGATGGAACCGGCGCCGTACCCGACGCCGCGGCTCGCGCTTTTCTTGTCATCATCATTATCATTACCATTATCGCCAGCATCGTTACCGTCATCCCCATTGCCGCCGCCGCCGCCGCCGCCGCCGCCGCCGCCGTCGTCGCTGTCGCCTCCATCGCTCACGTCTTGCATATTCATCACTCATGCATCACGAAAACTCGCGCACGTGCCGCGCGAGGTTCAAAGGGGCAAAAAACAAAAGACAAGAGGGAGAAAAAGAGAGAAATGTATGCGCGAGAAAGGGTCGCGTGTCACGGACACGATATGTCTTGCGGTCGAGAAACGCCGGCCCGACGTGGAGCCCACATTTTCGCCTCATATCCGTTATGAGAAACGCGAATCCGCGTGTCATTAAAATGCCGAGAATGAGGGGGATGGAGGCGGAGAGGAGGATACCGGCCCTTACTCGACGACGTCGCGATCGCTGCGTCGAGCGTTGCGTTTGCACGCATTTCGTCGCGCTCGCTCGTGCATTCATCAGCTTCATCAACAACTTCTCCGCCTTGCGCGATCAAACGCTCGCTGCGCCTCGACGGTCTCGCGCTGGAATTCTGTAAATAATCCACGGCACGTCTCACACATCACACGGCTCTCTTTACGCGGACATCGACACCGGAAGCAGCTTCTGTACACGAGAAATTGGATTTCGTAATAAAAACTTTTCTTCAACTACTGCCACCTCTCTCGCTCGACGGGCATCAGGCACGTGTCCCCGCTGTATCCTTCTATATGAAAAATCCATCTCGTCCTTTATTCGTAATTGGCTCGTTGCGTAATCGAGCGATTCGTTTGGAGCGCGACGTTAACCTGACGTAACATTCTTTGATATATATTGTACATAAACTTGTGTATTTTACGCTTGACAATAGCGTCGTCTTTAAACGGCCCATTTATATGGTGTACAGACCTTATTACCTCCTGCGCCATAATTCAATGCTTATTGCCGGCGGCATCGGGCCCTTTTGGGCGCTTGACAACCATTTGTTTATCGCCCAGCTACGTGTTTTGCTCTTTGTCGTCCTTTGTCTCGCGACACGTACTACATACGACGGCGAGGCACAATAGATGCCCCTTCATAATGGAGTCTACATGACGCTTGTCTTATTGTGCGTTCCATCATCGCGGAATCTCTTTGCTATTCGCGTGACATTTCCCGTGCACGCGTATGTATGTACGCACATAAGATGCACGTACATATGTGCCATACGCGTATAAGGGAAAAATAATCGATATTTTCATATTTAGTTCCAGAAGACCCCGTTTCTCTCTACGCGCTTTGCTGCTTTAAATCACTGCGACTCGAGTGAAAATTTTGAGATTGCAGTTGGTATTCAGGAGTAAATCTGAAAACAGGATATGGAGGTTGAAAGTGGAAGTAAAAAACTAGATCCCCGCCTTCCCACTGACAAATATTCAACTGATAAATATATTTGTCTACCTGTGCACCCTCAGAAAGGATTTCTGTTACCGAGACAACAATATTCTCGACGCGTTTGTATTTCTCGCAACCTCATTTGGTATCAAAATGAAATCAATAATTCTTATTCTCCTCTATCGAATTAAAAAAGATTGACTTACTATATTGAGACACGAGTACTTTATATAAATTTTATATATTCTTGCGTTTAGAATCAATTTTCCCTCCAACTTACAACGCACAGAGTTGGCACCGCGACATTCGGCAAAAGACGATACATACTATTATTTTATTCTAGATTTTAGAGTTTTTTTATTGAAGATTAAAATATTCCTTTCTCTATAACAAATATGATTCTTATTCTCCCCTGTCGAATTAAAAAGATTGACGTACTATATTGAGACAAGAGTAACTTGATATATTCTTGCGTTTAGAATAAATTTTTCCTCCGTCTTACAACGCACAAAGTTGGCACCGCAATATTCGACAAAAGACGATACATACTATTATTTTATTCTAGATTTTAGAGTTTTTTTTATTGAAGATTAAAATATTCCTTTCTCTATAACAAATATGATTCTTATTCTCCTCTGTCGAATTAAAAAAGATTGACGTACTATATTGAGACAAGAGTGACTTTACATATTCTTGCGTTTAGAATAAATTTTCCCTCCGTCTTACAACGCACGAAGTTGGCGCCGCGATATTTGACAAAAGACGACACATTTTATTCTAGATTTCAGAATTTTTCATTTAAGATTTAAAAACTTCCTTTCTCTATAATAAATATGCGCTATATCGATTCTATTTTATGATACGTTGAAGCGTAATAGCATTGGATCCGGAAATTTTTTCTGTGGGTGTGCGAGTATAATTTTCATGATAAATAATTGAGATAATGATCATATTGATTTACTCCACTCGAAGAGTAAATAAAATCATTTTTTAATTTAATATTTGTCAATAAAAAGGCAGGGGTCGGTTATCCTTTTATCTCTACTGTCTCTCCTTCAGCCTTTATATCTTTTTTTTTCAGATATCCCATTTCATCGCCGACTAAATTTTCGGAAAGAGCGACATTTTTTGACCCCTACAAATTTTAATTAGGACCCAAGTTTCGAGGATTTAAAAGAGAAAAGCGCGTAGAGGCGTTCTCCAGGATTTAATGTGTTAAACTAGCGTTACGCATGATGGAAGATAAACAAATTACGTACGAATGCGCGTTAAAGCCGATCTCTCGCGTAACAAAATTGCGCCCGGGCACAAAACGTCGAGATTATAAATATAATAATTCACTATTGTCCGTCGCCGATTATTTGATCTCGAATGTGAATAATAATTCACGCACACGGCCGCACTCCAGTTAATTTCACGATCATACATCGATAATTGGCGTAAATGATTTCCGCAATAATTCTAGTATAAAACACTAGCGCGTTCTGCATAAATCAAAATTGGAAATGTAACAGGGCGGCGCAAAAGTGTTTAATCATAATAACAATAATAATGTCATATAACGCTCGTCATTATTAAATCATATAAAGTCGCGGATGGAAAATCATTATCAATGAGCTGCAATTGAAATATTCAAGGCCCAATATTCGCGTGCTGAAAACGAGGGATAAAGAGGCGTTTGATACAATTATAACGGCTTTCACGGGATGATAATTGCGCCGGATCATAAAATTGCAAATTACATATCGCGAACGTGTTTATTCTCGTGAAGGCTGCCAGGGATCAAAAATAATCGCGTGTGACGAGCCGGGAGAGTGGCGGGTACGCGCGCGCGCTGGAAATACACCCGCGTGGAAATCGAAATTATTCCATTTCCAGCGGCCGGAAGGGTAGCGGCGCAAGGCGGCATTTAATACGATTACAATTTCTTCACGGGCTTGTAATTACGGCGGGATTACGAGGCCTGCAAATTGCACGCGTCCGTACGCGATCGGAGATCAGAGGTAGGTTGTGTCATGCGAGGCCGCAAGGTCGACGGGATATCGACTCGCGAAGGGGGCAGAGAAGCGAGAGAAAGAAAAGAAAGAGGATGGCGCGGGAGTTCTAGATCGATTTCCGTTCTCAGCATTCGAGCGGGATCGTCGCGCGCGCACGCGCGGGAAGAGCCCGGAGCGCTTTTTAACACGGTTGGGCCGCGCGCGCGGGACGACAATTGGGCGGGATGATAAAATTACGTGCGACAGAGGCGGCCTGGCGTGCGCGCCGAGGAAATGATCGTGCGAGGCCGCCCGTGAGAGATTGACAGGTATACGCGTCGCGGGAGCCGGGACTCGGGGCTCTGTGACTCCGTTCCGCGCGCGCCGCGCCGCGTGAGCGCGAGACGGGCGGGGTGGGGGCGAGCGCGCGAGCGAGAGAGTGGGGGAACGAGGCGCGCGCGCGCGCGCATCCCGCGGCGAGCCAACCGCTGCCGCGCGCGATCGTGGCTCACTTCAAATCAGTCGCGCTTCGACCTTCGCCGCGGGTGTGCTTCGCGCGCGTCGCTCTCTCCCCTCCTCGCTCCACGGCCGTTTTCGTACGCGCGGACGTCGTTCTCGCTCCATCGTCGTTCGCGATCGCGAGGTGACGAGCGTCGGAGACGCGAGTCCGGTGTCGCGCCGCGTTCGTGCTACTCCTTGGGGATTTTGCGTCTCTCTTTCGCGCCGGGTCTCGGGAGTGCCGGGATACCGCCATTGCCGCGAGTTGCATCGCCGACGGGCGGTCGTGACGCGCGTCGCCCAGGGATCATCTCGCCGGTGGATGCTGCGGTGCTGCTCGTCGCACGTCCCCGCGGCTGCCGAGAAGTCTACAGTCTCAAGGACCGCCTGGTAAGTGAGTGCACGTATACGCGCGGACACGAGAGGTTCGTTGACGCGCGCGGGGCCGGCTCGGACTCCGCCGAGTCCCCCCGGAAGGTGAGAAACGCGAGCGCCGCGTCGTTTTCGAATTGTTCACAT